GGTGCCTCCACTCCACTCGGAGAGACACACTTAGCTAGGAGAGAGAAAAGCACGTGGGGGCCCAGGATGAAGTGCAGGCCGCTCCCCTACCCTTGGAAGATAACCGTGGGGCTCTCATGAGCCAGGAGCCTGCTGCAAATGAGGATGGGAACCCACTGATTCTCCCACAGTGAGTGGGTTCTGGCCACTCTTATGGCCAGAAACCCAGATCATCTCTTCAGTCCTCCCATCATACCTGCAGGACAGGATGTGTAGCTCTCACTGACGGGCTTGCAGCCGGAGGTCCGCTGGGAGGTGAGGCGTCTGCCTCAGGCCTGGGTTTCTGCTGAAGCTCCGCCCCTCCTGCAGCGTGGGCCGCCCCTGCCGCTGGCTGTGGTTACGCAGCACCCGGTTGGCCGTCTCCGCAGCCACCTCAGAGTTCAGGCTCTCCGCCGCCATGGCCAGAGGCTCGTCATCGTCCTCCCCAAGCCGTCCCAAGCATCGCTGGTATTGCTCTCGAACTCCTGAAAGGTGCTGACCCTCTTGGCCTTCACTGGTGTGGTCGGCATCTTGGCCGTGGACTTCAGCAAACTGCAATGCAAAGGCGGTCTTGGCTTCGTACATGCTCAGAAGGTTTCACCCCAAAATAGCCAGGAAAGAATTCCCAGGTGAAAGAAGACAGGCATAGAAGTTTTCAGCTTTGATCTAGCAATAGTAGTGAAAAAAGCAAACACAATTCACAGAGGCAGCCAAAGAGCACAGCAGGTGAAGCATGAGACTCAGTGGCAGGAGGGGAGGGAGGCTCCAGGAAGGCCACCTGGGAGGAGGCACAGGCCACATGGTGCTGCCCTGCAGACCCAGCCAGCTCACTCTGGCGGCCCAGTGCTTTTATTCCCGAGTCAGTAAGGCTCCTGCAGCAGTGGGGGTGTGGGCCGGAGCGCCTGTGCAGGTATGGGCCTGTGGTATCTGAGGAATTTAGAGAACCACGATCATTTAAACATTCCCCAAAATATGACAACACACAACACCGGCCCCACCTTACGTCAGAAACTTAGCAGACAGGTGCAGTCCTGCAGGAGCCACACCAATAAGCACAAGTCCCACACCCTGTGAAACCCACCTGCTGTGGAGGGCCGACAGGCCAGGGCCAGGCTCAGCAGCTGGTGGAGAATGTGGGATGGAGGGGCTGGAAGGACAAGCCAGCATGAATGTCCTCCAGAATGTGCCAGGCGGGCGCTCAGAGCCTCCTCCAGAATGTTCCAGGCGGGCGCTCAGAGCCTCCTCCAGAATGTTCCAGGCGGGTGCTCAGAGCCTCCTCCAGAATGTTCCAGGCGGGTGTTCAGAGCCTGGCCCAGCACACGGCTCCCATCAGGCACATCGTGCTTTCACCAGCTGTCTCTCCGCCACCTGCCTGTTGCTGGAAACCACGGGACACAACCAGGACAACATCTGTTAAGTCACCTGACTCGTCAATGACTACAAAAGTGACCATATACGTCAGCAGCGCAAAAATCAAGTGAGAAGACAAAAAGATAAAAAGGCCAGTTCAAATGAACGTAACCACCACCATGAAAATAACTAACATTTTTGAGTGTTTAGTATGTGCTAGGCACTCTCTTAAGCATGTTCTACGTACTATCTCATTCAAACTGCAAAATGAGCACTGCTTTCGTCATGCCTATCACGCAAACGAGAACTCTGAGACGCAGGATCATCACCAAGCTGGCTCAAGGTCACGTGGCGAGTAACCAGTGGAACCAGCTCCCCACACAGACAGCCTGGCTCCAGGACCTGCTCTCCCAGGTGCAACGTGGTTCTGCATCCCCGCGCCACCCTGGAGGCACGAGAGCCAGCAGAGAGGGGCGCTGGCATGCTAGGAGAGGAAGCGGCTAATACATCAACTACAAGATTCTACTCCTGCAAGCACGACCTACCTTTATCTCCTGTCTTGGTGGGTGACACTTCCACCTACCCGGTGCGCTAGCCGAAATCACAGTCATCCCCCACACTGCCTTCTCGCCTCACCCATGGCTAGGGATGCTCTGTGAGCGTCACCATCACAGAAGGAGGTTCAGGCACCTGAAGAAACGTTCTCAAGTTGTTTGTAACAATAGCAAGTTAGGAATAACCTGTCTGCCCATCCGCAGGGGCTGGTGCAGTCAAGTGGGGCACGTCCATAGGACGGCATGTTACAGGGCACTCCAAAGACTAAGGCGGTTCTCCACATACACCACGGGAAAATATATCATTCCTTTAAAAAGTGAGGTGTACAACCCTTACTGTGCAAGGGGAGAAAGAAAAACACCGCAGAAATGCACAGACCCCAGAGCGTCCCTCTACAGAACACTTCATCACCAAAGGAAAAAGGGGAGCTCTTCGGCGCAAAGAGCTGGCAGACGCCACCTCAGCCAAGTGATCGGAGTCCACGTCAATGCGAGGACCCACCAGCACCACGTGCCCCGCTGTGATGACCAAGAAGAACACAAATCCCTTCAGGGACGTTCCCGCCAAAAATTATCAACCAGAATCTCACCGTGGGCAAACACCAGACAAGCACAAACCAAGGGACATCCCATAAAATCACTGGCCTGTGCTCTGCTAAAGTGTCAAGATCGAAATGCAGAGACAGGCAAGGCTGCTGCTCCAGGTTGATGGAGAAGACAGAGGCGTGGCACTCAAATGGAATGCATGGTCCCCAACTGGAGTCTGGGCTAAGAAAAAAACAGAGAAAGGACGTTACAGGGACGACTGGCAGAATGTGACTATGGACTGCGGATTATAATAATAAAAGCGTAAAATAGTACTGTGTCAATGTTCAATTTCCTGATTTTGACACCCGTGCTGTGATGATACTGAGGGAACGTCTTTGTGCTTAGGAAACAGGCAGCGAAGGTTTTAGAGGTAAAGGGATATCTCTCCAACTGACTCTCAAATGGTTCAGAAAAAAAAAATATATATATACACACACACACACACACACACACACACACACACAAAGAGGCACACACATGCAGAACGGTAACAGGCAAATGTAAACAACTGGTGATTCTGGGTGCAGAGCATATGGGAGTTGTTGGCACTATCCTTGCCAACTGTTCTGCAAGTTTGAATTGCATCAACATAAAACGTTTAAAACAACACATGCATGGGCCATCACTGGAAGGAGACACCTGGAACTGTGGAAAGGAAGGGAAGGTGGAGGCTGGGACAGGCCTCATTTTCACACAGACCCTGCTGTGCTGTGTCATGTTATAACACATGCAAGTGTTGCTGTTTCAAAAAAACAAACATAAGGAAGAAACAACCACCCGCTTTGAGAACTCTATGCAGAGCTATGTCCTCCTTGCCAACAGACCTTCCAAGAGCCCTCCCCAGCCTCGGGAACACAGCTCCAGCCGTGCCCTCTGAACCGCTGCTTCTGCCCAGAAACCTCTGCCTGCCCTGGGCCTGAGCATGAAGGCCCAGATGCTGCGAGCTCCTGCACGGCCCCTGCACGGCTCCTGCATGGCTCCCGGCGGCCCATCCGCGTGCGCCACTCGCCACCTCCTGGCCAAGCCAGGCGTTGCACCTCCGGCTCTCAGAGTGCCACAATGACACTGGCAGTAACTGTCTGATACAGGTTTGTCCCCCGAGTGAAGCAATCTCATGACCAAGGCCACATTCCAGTCCTCCCGAGAGTTCCAGCATTTAGCAAACGCCTAGCCAGAGTGGCGCTCCACAAAGATGACATACGGAAAGGAAGGACGTGGATTCAGCAGGAATGCCACCAGAAGAACTCAAAGCAAGTGCGTTCCACAGAGCCTGGCCACGGCGGTCCACAGGGACACTGCGTGTGCCTGGAAGCAACTCGCGCAGGAAGAGTCACGCTGGTGACTGTGCTCCGCCCTGCGGGCCTGCCCCTCTGCCCCAGCCTCACCCTTGCCCCTTGCAGGGCTCACAGCCTGTCACCCTCTGATGACTGCCAGCCCCAGGGCAGGAAGGTGCAAACCCAGCAGATCGAGTTGATGGTCACCAGCGCTGCGCCCCCATGAGCCACTGTCTTCAGAATACTATGACGAACAAGGATGTCCACCTGGCCAGCCTCGAAGGGCTCACCAAGGGCGGCAATAATGAAGACTGCAATTGGGACAACAAGAAAACAGAATGGGCCAGGCGCGGCACCTCACGCCTGAAAGCCCAGTGCTTTGTGAGGCTGAGGCAGGAGGATCTCTTAAGCCTAGGAGTTCAAGACCAGCCTGGGCAACACAGGGAGAACCCTATCCCTAGAAAAAATTGTTTAAAGAATTTGGTGAGCATGCTGGCACAATCCTGTAGTCCCAGATACTCAGGAGGCTGAGACAGGAGGATTGCTTGAACCCAGGAATTCCAGGTTGCAGTGCACTGTGATCGCACCACTGCACTCCAGCCTGGGCGACAGAGTAAGACCTTGCCTCAAATTTTGAAATAAGAAAACCAAGCCGGGCACGGTGGCTCACGCCTGTAATCCCAGCACTTTGGGAGGCCAAGGCGGGTGGATCACGACGTCAGGAGATCGAGACCATCCTGGCTAACACGGTGAAACCCCGTCTCTACTAAAAATACAAAAAATTAGCCGGGCGTGGCGGCGGGCGCCTGTAGTCCCAGCTACTTGGGAGGCTGTGGCAGAAGAATGGCGTGAACCCTGGAGGCGGAGCTTGCAGTGAGCCGAGATCGCGCCACCGCACTCCAGCCTGGGCGACAGAGTGAGACTCTGTCTCAAAAAAAAAAAAAAGAAAACCAAAAGGAACGCAAAATATATTTTCAAATTGCATTGGAAAAACACTAACAAAACATGTCTAGAGGCAACTATCAGCACAAATTGCTACTACCTTAGTGACTTACTGACTTGAAAATATTACGTGAACTCATCACCTTCCTGCAAGCCAAATTGCACACGGAAGCGTGTGCATTATATAAGCCCACACGGAATCCTTTAAGATGTGATCTATTTCAGAAACGGCAAGAAATGTCCGTGTATGTCCTCCAGAGGGCAGGGTGCTTACCAAGGTCTGTGTTGGGGCCGGCAAGCAGCTGCTTGAACTTGTCGAGCCGGGAGGCCTCTCTTTCGCTCAGTGCTGAGCTGCTGAGGGTGCTGGGGTCAGATGTGCCACCCAGCGTGACGGTGGCCGCGTGTGGGAGAGACTGGGACCTCTGCAGAGGGGCGGCATCGCTGGCACTTTCTGCAGGGGTGAGAGAACGGGGGTGAGGGTGAGGGCGTTCCTCTCGACCGCATGTTCCTCCTGGCTGTGCCACCGTCTCTTTGTGAACGCTGTCGGGTCACAGTGGTCCCTTCTTCCCATCACTGAGCAGCGGGGACCTCAGTTTCTTGAGCAATAACATAGAACTGACAACTTTGAAATTCACTAGCCTCACTGGCAGAGTATCAGTCATCAGTGAAATGGAGAACCTCGCATAAAAGCAACACAACGACAGCCAGAAAACTCCAGGATCCCTCGGGCTGTGTTGGCGGTCAGGCTCCCACCAGTGCCTGGGGTGGAGGATCAGGGCCTTCCCAGGTGACACGACCCAGAGGGTCTGTGCAGGAGGGTATTCTCGGGTCAGCCAGGCCTGAGTGTAGAGGGCAAGTCCTCGAGTTACCGTGAGGGAAAGGAGAAAGCCCGCAGAGGCGCTGAGGACAGGAGGCAACAGTGGGGACACAGCAGGAACCAGGGCACTGCGAGGGCACTCACCTGCTGTCTCAAGAGCATGCCCAACCCGCCACCTGCCTGGCCCTCCCTGGGTCTCCCCAGTGCCCTGGGAGGAAGGTCCCACAGGGACCCTCATCCCAAGGAAACAAAGGAAGCCAGACAAGTAAGGAATGGCACCTTCCCAGACCCCACCACAAGGCAGTGACCGAGATGGCACTAGAGTACAAGCTGCCCACCCTCCCTCCCGCCCTCTGCTGCTGCCCACCCAGGCCTCGCTGACCCCCAGGATGGACAGGCCCACAGGGGCCTAAGCAGGAGGTGAGATAGCACATCCCACCTAGCAACCCGGGACCGGGTCAGCCCAAGGGAAGACCCTAAGGCCCTCAGGTCACTCAACACGGCCACCCAAGACCAACAAGCAAGAGGCTGGGGAAGGCTCCAGACTCCTAGGTCTAAATCCTGTCTAGCTATCTCATCTTTCAAAAGCTGAAAATTAAACTAGAGTGAAAAATAAACTCCAGGAAATGGAGCCAGAGCACATGCTGCAATTGACCGGCTGACATCCACTCCAGCAGCTGGGAGCAAGGAGGTAGGAGCCCCACTCCCCCCGCGTCCTCCTTCCCACACAGCGCCCCCATTTCCTTCATCACCTGGGGGTGGGGGAAAAGAATTCACACAGAAACCCTCAGGCTATCCAGGAGGCAAGCAACCTATGGGTTCTGGGCAGAATGTGGTCCAGTTAAATTTCCAGCGAAGTCTGCTAAAGTGGGGGCATGGACTTTAGAGTACCGCCCTGTCTCCTCCCCCCATCCCCGCTGCCCACTCTCCCTGACACCCACCAACCCCCGGGACAACCTCCTCCCAGCAGCCTCAGCGCCCTTGCTGTGATTCCTCTTTTGTAGCAGCCGCACGCCGAGCAGTGGGCTGGGGCCCCAGGCCGGGGCATCTGGCTCCAGAGTTCCCGCTGCCGGCCTTACCGCAGGGCGGGCTGAGAACCAGCACCTGAGCAGAGGGGAGGACCATGGGTAACAGTGCCCCTGTCCCTCCTTCAGAGTCTGTTGCTTCAGCAGCACTGACAGTTCCTCAGAATCAACATTCAGCAGGAAGAACAGCTGTGCACCGAGTCCCAGAATTAAAGGTGCTCAGCTGGACTTCCCTGAGATCTTTAGAAATGACCGATGTGGCTTCATCAGGACACGGAAGGAGCCACTCAGTCCTGAGCAGGGCCCACAAATCCATGCCCTGGTGTTGCTGCAAAGTTTAGTGAGTTTAGTATCACAGAGACGTGATACTGTACCTGCCGCACAGTAAACGATCAATATATGGTATCACCGTTACTATACTGAAGTGCTCAAAAAAGGCTTGCCCAGAAAGCAAACACCGGAAAAGTGGCCAACTCCAAGGCAGACAGTGGGGGCACAAGGCGACGAGGTCACAGGCTCCCTTCTCCCAGTGCAAGCTGTCTGGAGCATCCTTTGCTTGGCTCTTCCAGGATGAGGCCATCCCAGGGTGACATCCCACAGCTCCCCGACCCCGGTTGGTCGCAGTCTGAGCCTGCCTCTTGTCAGATCCCCCAGCCACACACGGTGTGGTCCTGCGGCCCTGGCCACTCTCAGCCTGACAGCACCCTGCATCTTGGGGGTAGGGGGCGGGGTGCTGAGAGGCTCACAGAGCTTCAATGTCAGCACCACCCTCCCAGAGCAGATGAAGTCAGGGATCCTGCCAACTCCAACTCTGCCCAGGCCGAAGGGCGCTGCCCAGAATGGGCCTGCAGGAGGCAGTCAGTGCATGCTTCAGTCAGTCACCAGGTTTCCAAACCTCCCGCAAAGGCTATCACCAGATTTCCACTTACAAGTTCAAAGACTTTAAAATTTATTAGATTCCAAAAAGAAAACTGATCAAATGAAATCACGCACAGCGTTCTCAACTAATGAGAGCTGTAACATTTTAGAAGTTAACCAATTCCTAGAAAGTGGTTTTAAAAACTAGACCTAGGTATGAAACCTAGTTCTGCAAGGTTACCTCAGACTGTTCTAACAATCTCCATCTTCTCAACTGGAAATGTGGGGAGGGCATCCTAGCCCCCAGAAGACCTTGGAGGGAGGTACCTATGAGGGCCTGTGGCCGCCCCGGCTAGCCCTCGCCCCTGCCCCTCAGGCCTGCCTCCCAACAGCACTGCTCACGCAAGGACACCCTGACCTCCTCGTTTAAGATGACACTCAACTCGCCACTGCTCTCACAGCCACCACGTTCCCACCCCGTTCTCTGCCTCTCTTGACCATGGCACCTGCTGCCTCCCAGCACACTCTGTGCCCCCTTGCTGGCTGTGGGCAGTGCTGCATCCATCCCTCTCACCAGAACTGACTTTCCACAGGGCACAGATGGACCTCAGTCTGTCCAGTGGGGTATCCCAGGCTCTGAAAACAGTGCCCGCGGCCCACGGTGGGTTCACCACATGACCGTGCGGCTTTTCCATCACAGACGTGATGGCCTGTAACACCTAAAGAGCGGTAGTCACAGAAACAGCCTCGAGAACAGCTGCTGCGCACCAGTGCCATGCACATGGCACCAGACACGACCCCACCCAAGGGGGTCAGAATGTGAATGTGGCCGACCCAAAAGACAGACTCCCAGCCCCTTCGGACCTGAGCCCACGTGTATGCGCCCCAGGCAGGAATCCTGTAAGCTGCCTAGAGGGCCAGCCCCTAAACATGCAGGAGCCTGACCCTTCGGCTGGCAATGTCACCCATGGAACCATTGCAAGCTGGTGGAGTTAGGAGGGAGACAGTGTCCCCAGGCGCTTGCTCCCCCGTGACCCTCTCACGGCTGGCCCACAACAGCCTGGTGCCTCCACTCCACTCGGAGGAGAGACACACTTAGCTAGGAGAGAAGAAAGCACGTGGGGGCCCCAGGATAGAGCGCAGGCCGCTCCCCTACCCTTGGAAGATAACCGTAAGGGCTCTCATGGGCCAGGGAGCCTGCTGCAAATGAGGATGGGAACCCACTGATTCTCCCACAGTGAGTGGGTTCTGGCCACTTTCTTAGCCTGGCCAGAAACCCAGATCATCTCTTCAGTCCTCCCATCATACCTGCAGGACAGGATGTGTGGCTCTCACTGACAGACTTCACCAGCCGGAGGTCACCGCTGGGAGGTGAGGGCGGCTCTGCCTCAGGCCTGGGTTTCTGCTGAAGCTCCGGCCCCTCCTGCAGCGTGGGCCGCCCCTGCCGCTGGCTGTGGTTACGCAGCACCCGGTTGGCCGTCTCCATGACCACCTCAGAGTTCAGGCTCTCCGCCGCCATGGCCAGGAGCTCGTCATCGTCCTCCCCAGCGTCCCAAGCATCGCTGGTATTGCTCTCGAACTCCTGAAAGGTGCTGACCCTCTTGGCCTTCACTGGTGTGGTCGGCATCTTGGCCGTGGACTTCAGCAAACTGCAATGCAAAGGCGGTCTTGACTCGTACATGCTCGAAGGTTTCACCCAAAACCAGCCAGGAAAGAATTCCCAGGTGAAAAGACAGGCATAGAAGTTTTCAGCTTTGATCTAGCAATAGTGAGTGAAAAAGCAAACACAATTCACAGAGGCAGCCAAAAGAGCACAGCAGGTGAAGCCCATGAGGACTCAGTGGCAGGAGGGGAGGGGGCTCCAGGAAGGCCACCTGGGAGGAGGCACAGGGCCACATGGTGCTGCCCTGCAGACCCAGCCCAGCTCACTCTGGCCAGTGGCACCTTCCCCGAGTCCCAGTAAGGCTCCTGCCCAGCAGTGGGGGTGTGGGCCAGGAGCGCCTGTGCAGGGTATGGGCCTGTGGTATACGAATTTGAAGACACGATCATTTAAACATTCCCCCAAAATATGACAACACACAACACCGGCCCCACCTTACGTCAGAAACTTAGCAGACAGGTGCAGTCCTGCAGGGCCACACCAGCCAAGCACAAGTCCCACACCCTGTGTTCCCACCTGCTGTGGAGGGGCCAGGACAGGCCAGGGCCAGGCTCCAGCAGCTGGTGGAGAATGTGGGATGGAGGAGCGGAAAGGACAAGCCAGCATGAATGGCCTGCAGCCAGGCTGCCCGTGGCTAAAGGATGCCGGCTCCTGGCTCTCCCCAGGGCTCCCCCGCCTCCCCGCATCAGGCTGTGGCTCCCACATCCGCCATCCTCACTGGGATGGGAAGCATGGGGTGTGCAGCATCTCACACAAAGCGACTGCTTGATCAGTGTGGCTGAATGAGAAACCACTCTATTCCCTCAGGAATGCCTGGGAGCAGAAGGGAAGCAGGAAGACCAGGGTTGCCACAGCCCTCCCACATCAGAGCCGAGACGCCAACTGAGATTGGAACGTCACTTACGTGCCATGTAACAGTGGATCAAAGGGGGGGTGCTGGGCGCCATACACATGCTGGATGCTGATGGAAAAGAAAGGGAAAACCAGTGAGCCTCTCTCCTGCCTTCCCAAGAGCCTACCACCAGCTCAGCCAAAAGGTGGGCTCCCAGGAACCCACAGGACTGAAGGAAGCAGCTTCTCATTGGCTGCTGCAGGCCTCCCTGCAGCCACCCGGGGTCCTGAGGGCCCAGTTCAGAAGGGATGAATGGCACCATACAAGCCCACACCCCACACCCCACACCCCACACAAGCAGGGCATTCAGCCCCTTCCTGAGAATAGGCCTCAGCCCAACAAGCACCACCACAGACCCTCAGGCATCCACACGGTGATGAGTGTGTCTGGGAGTGCAATGAAGAAACTGCAGACTCTGCCCACAGACTAAAAACTCCAAGAAATGCCCATCTGGGAATTCTCAACTGCCATCATTTTGTCTGAAACTGAATACAGAATTGCAAAAGATAAATATAATTTTTTTAAAGATTTAATGGGCTGGACGCAGTGGCTCATGCCTGTAATCCCAGCACTTTGGGAGGCCAAGGTGGGTGGATCACAAGGTCAGGAGTTCGAGACCAGCCTGGCAAACATGATGAAACCCCGTCTCTACTAAAAATACAAAAATTAGCTGGGCATGGTGGTATGCGCCTGTAATCCTAGCTACTGGGGAGGCTGAGGCAGGAGAATGGCTTGAATCCAGGAGGCAGAGGTTGCAGTGCATGGTGGTATGCGCCTGTAATCCTAGCTACTGGGGAGGCTGAGGCAGGAGAATGGCCTCTGAACCAGGAGTGAGGTTGCAGTGAGCCAAGAGTGAGCCAATGCACTCCAGCCTGGGTGATACAGCAAGACTCCGTCTCAAAAAAAAAAAAAAAAAAAAAAAAAAAAAGATTTAATTGTTTTATTATAAAAGTCTTTATTATAAAAGTCTTATATTCATCAGAGCAAATTTGGAAAACCGATGGAAATGAAATACTCCACATGGCGGACACTGTTGGTTGACTGATCAACCTCTACCCAGAAGCCTTTGCTCCTTTGGCTGACTTCAGCCACGGCTGGCCCTGTGACACACATTTATTTCTCACAGCCAGCAAGAAATAAATGGGGGTTTTTACTTTTCTGGGGGAAAAAAAAAAAAAAACAGGCTTACCTAGCACCCCTTTGGCCTCTAGCTTCTCTCCGTTTTTTTCCGCCTGGAACACAGAGGTGAGGCCTGGGACCTCAGCCATCGTGCGTGAGTGACGGAAGATGCCACCATGAAGGGCAGCAGGGCAGACAGGCGGGAAAGAGCATGGGGCTATGACGGCTTTGAGCTGCTGCCCAACCCTGCACTGCTCACCACAGACTACCAGACACATGAAACAAACGAATCTCTGTTTGTTGATGGCAATACTGGCAATGTTGGGAGGCCGAGGTGGGTGGATCGCTTGAGCTCAGGAGATTAGGACTAGCCTGGGCAATAGGGCGAAATTGTGTCTGTACAAAAAATATAAAAATATTGGCTGGGCGTGGTGACACAAGCCTGTGGTCCCAGCTACTTGGGAGGCTGAGGTTGCAGTGAGCCAAGACTGCACCACTGAACTCTAACCAGGGTTACAGAGTGAGACCCTGTCTCAAAAAAATAAAATAAGTGATTACCAAAAAAATGGTGGGAATGATCACTCGAGCCTGGGAGGTGGAGGTTGCAGTGAGCCAAGAACGTACCACTGCACTCCAATCTGGGTTACAGAGTGAGACCCTGTCTCTAAAAAATAAAATGAAATGGGGATTACAAAAAAGCAATAAAGATATTTGGAGACAAATATTTGCACACAACTATGATAACCTCTTGAGGATAGACTCCTAGAAATGGAAAGCTTGGGACATAAAGCACGCATTAAAAATGCTGCTGGTCCACACTGCCAAAGAGCCGTGGCTCATATCCCACCAGCAGGGTCGGACACCACACATCACTGCTCATTCAACAGGAGAACAGTGGTCTCCGTGTCAGCTATGTGCCTTTTCATTCATTCGTGAGGTAAAACATTTTTTTCTAATTTTGTTCATTTGTACCTCTTCTTTTTGTAAATTGTTCATACCCTTTGTCCATTTTCTAATGAGGTGCTCACCACTTTCTTACTGCTTTGCAAAAAAAAACCTTGTAAACAGACCATTCCTTATTAGTCATTTCGGTGGTGTGGTCCACAGAATAACGGCCCCCGCCCAAGATGTCCACATCCTAACGCCCAGAACCTGTGACTGTGTCACCTGACGTGGCAAAGGGGACTTTGCAGATGCAATTAAGAACACAAACCCGGAGGTGGGAGACCATCCTGGGCTATCCTGCTGGGCACAATCTAATCACGGGTACTCAAACGCAGAAAAGCTTCCCGGCTGTGGCCAGAGGGAGGCATGACCACAAAAGGTCACACAAATGCAATAGAGCGTTTGGAGAAAGGGGCCATATGCCAAGGAATGTGGGCGGCTTCCTGGAGCTGGAGAGAGCAGGGAAAACGCTCTCTCCTGGAGCTTCCAGAAGGAACCAGCCCCACCATCACCTTGGTGTTAGCCCAGTGAGACCCACGTCAGACTTGCAAACTCTAGAAGTCTAAGATACCATGTTTGTTGTAAGCCAGTAAGTTTGTGATGGTTTGTTAGAGCAGTGACAGAAAGAGAAAGGCGGTGGCCAATCTGTTTTCCTTGGTCTGGGAGGCTGAGCCACTCTTGTGTCCTTTCCTCATGATTCCACCTTGGGGACGACACTTGGAAAGGCCCAGCCCTTCCGAGAGGGCACAAACATTTCACTGCGTGCTAGCTTCATCCTTCTAGAGGGCTCGTTCCTACCCTTACGTTTTCAATCCACCTAGAATTTATTTCATTTTGCTATATAGCGTTTAGTAGGAAACTTTAAAAAAAAAAAATAGAGTTCAAATGTCATTGATTAAGTAACCTCTCCTTTCACCCAGTGCTTCGAGAATATCATTTTTAACATTAAAATATTACATTGGGTCATTTTTCAGCTTCCCACTCAGTTTCTATTCAGTATCCCATTCCTATGCCTGCAGCACAATATATTAATTATACCAAATGTTTACTTTTATAGTCTAAGATTTTTCAGCAAAATTTAACAAACATTTTTTCAATACTGACTCTCAGGGCACTGGGGAGGCCAAAATAAGCACAATACAGTTCAAACCATTCAGGCCTTTACAGTTTACTTACAAAAGTAACATAAAGCAACACTTCCACTGGCATTTTGAATGTTCCATGATAGTTCCTGCAAGAGCATGCCACAGGAGTATAGAAACCCAGTCTTATTGGGAGGCCGAGGCGGGCGAATCACAAGGTCAGGAGATTGAGACCATCCCGGCTAACACGGTGAAACCCCGTCTCTACTAAAAATACAAAAAATTAGCCGGGCTCGTGATGGCGGGTGCCTATAGTCCCAGCTACTCGGGAGGCTGAGGCAGGAGAATGGCGTGAACCCAGGAGAGGAGCTTGCAGTGAGCTGAGATCGCGCCACTGCACTCCAGCCTGGGGGACAGAGCGAGACTCTGTCTCAAAAAAAAAACCAGGCTGCCGTGGCTAAAGGATGCCGGCTCTGGCTCTCCCCAGGGCTCCCCGCCTCCCGCATCAGGCTGGCTCCATCCGCCATCCTCACTGGGATGGGAAGCATGGGAGGTGCAGCACATCTCACAAAGCGACTGTTTGATCAGTGTGGCTGAATGAGAAACCACTCTATTCCTCCCTAAGAGATGCCTGGGAGCAGAAGGGAAGCAGGAAGACCAGGGTTGCCACAACCTCTGTCAGAGCCGGGAGACGCCAGCACAGGGTGGAGCGTCACTTACGTGCCATGTAACAGTGGATCGAGGGGGTGCTGGGCGCCATACCACCACATCACTGGATGCTGATGGAAAGAAGGAAAGCCAGTGAGCCTCTCTCCTGCCTTCCCAAGAGCCTACCACAGCTCAGCCAAGGTGGGCTCCAGGAGCCCACAGGACTGAAAGGAAGCAGCTTCTCATTGGCTGCTGCAGGCTCATGTGCCCAGAGATCCTGAGGCCCAGTTCAGAGAAGGATGGAATGGCACCATACAAACCCACACCCCACACCCCACACAAGCAGGGCATTCAGCCCCTTCACGAATAGGCCTCCAGCCCAACAAGCACCACCACAGACCCTCAGGCATCCTGCGGTGATGAGTGTGTCTGGGAGTGCAATGAAGAAACTGCAGACTCTGCCCCAGACTAGAAACTCCAGCAGCCCATCTAGAATTCTCAACTGCCATCATTTTGTCTGAAACTGAATAGAATTATAAAAAAGATAAATATAATTTTTTAAAAAGATTTAATGGGCTGGGCGCAGTGGCTCATGCCTGTAATCCCAGCACTTTGGGAGGCCAAGGGTGGGTGGATGCAAGGTCAGGAGTTCGAGACCAGCCTGGCAAAACAGTGAAACCCCGTCTCTACTAAAAATACAAAAATTAGCTGGGCATGGTGGTATGCGCCTGTGATACTAGCTACTGGGAGGCTGAGGCAGGAGAATGGCTTGAATCAGGAGGCAGAGGTTGCCCAGTGGGCAGTGAGCCACTGCACTCCCAGCCTGGGTGACACAGCAAGACTCCGTCTCAAAAAAAAAAAAAAAAGATTTAATTGTTTTATTATAAGTCTTTATTATAAAGTCTTATATTCATCAGAGCAAATTTGGAAAACGATGGAAATGAAATACTCCCACATGGCGGACACTGTTGGTTGACTGATCGCCCTCTACCCAGAAGCCTTTGCTCCTTTGGCTGACCTACAAGCGCGGCTAGCCCTGTGACACACATTTATTTCACAGCCAGCAAAAAGAGAGAAAGAAAGAAGTAAATGAGGATTTTTAGCACTCTGGGGAAAAAAAAAAAAAAAAAAAAACGAAACACCTGCATACCTTGGCCTCTAGCTTCTCTCCGTTTTCGCCTGGAACACAGAGGTGAGGCCTGGGACCTCTCGACCATCGTGCGTGGTAATGGAAGATGACTGCATGAAGGGCAGCAGGGCAGACAGGCGGGGAAA